CGATGGATTCAAGTCCATCTAGTACCACTTTCTGCACCTCTTTACCCCGTTGCCGATCAGGCAGTGGCATTTCATAAAGCCGTCTGAGACTCTTCACTGGTTTCTCTTTGACTGTCGGGATCATGTCATCCCCCCTCCCAATGCAGAAGTGAATCTCCTTGATATAGCCTCTGAGTAATAATAAGCTTCGGCTTTTCTTGGGCTTACCCTTCATTCTCGCCCACATGAAGAGCTTATGGCAGTTCATCGGCACTGACCATAGACAGAACCAGAATGGTGTTGCCATCCATGAACGCTATGGAAGGAGGAACGGCCATTTGTTCCTTAGTCATCACTCCCTTTGCTGTGTCCGCTGCACCTCTTAATATGAGTTCCATGGACATAATGAAAAGAAGTGATGAAATCATACACAATGATGCCGACCTCGAGGGCTTGCAACTTGATGGTGTAGTTATCAACGGTGAACTGCATAAACGCTTCTTCTCAAACTCTTGTAGGGAAAATTGAAAAATTCGAGGTGACATTCCTCCCGAGGAACTGATCCATGCGCAGAGTGAGTCTTCGTGTCAAACATGTTGTAGTGTGGCCTATATAATTATTTACGTATTTTGATTGATCAGGAATACAGTTCCTTAATGGGCATTTAATTTCGTAAATAATATTTGCCCTATTCAATATTCTTATAAGAAGTGAATTTTTATTTTTAACTATAAGTTTAAAGGTTTTAAATTTTTGTAATAAATAATTAATCTATTTTTTTTGGTATTGTCAACTGGTGTTATCCATTTTTTTTATAATCTTCTTAATTCTACTTTCGTCTTGTTTATAATTTTCGTTCATTTTGATTTTTATAAAAAATATTAATGTTGTTGTGTATGTTTCTATTCTCGTCATTGCTATTAGCTACATTAGACGGGAAACGTCTAAACTGTTTAGTTTACTTTGTGTTTATATTTAGTTTGTTTTGGGGGTCCATTCCCTCCCCTCTCACTTTATTCATCCATAAATTTTTAAGTATATATTTTATAATCATTTGATTTTTATGGCATGGAGCGCGTTTTGTAGGTTCTCCTTGGAAGGATGTGGTATTATGGTGGATGGAGGATTGAATGGTGACGGACGAGTTCTAATGGTGAATGTGGAAATTGTAATGTGTGAATGGCTCGTGAATCAGATTAGATCGGTATAAGATAGTTAGTTATGACCAGCCTCAAACCCTCCCCATTTGGGCCTTGTGCCGCAATTGTATTATAAATACAATAAATAATAATTGAAAAAACAATTATAAAAGAAATGCAATTTCATCTAATATTTATTTAATATGAGTTTAATATAAATATTCTCTTCTTTTATATCCTTATTTATTCTTTTATAAAAATTTCATCTATCATTATTTCATCTATTATTTAATTCATATTAATATTCTCCGTTCTACATACTAAAAATATTTTAATTAAACCTTTTCAATTTGCGTTTAGTATAAAATTTCTATTTTAAAATTCTAAAATATATATTAAAATTTCCTTAATATTATCTAAAAAAAACTTTTGTAAATATTTAAAGACTGTATTTCCTTATGTAATTTATCATTCTACGCAAAAGTAAAAACATGTTAAATATATGTCAAGGTCAGCCAATGACAAGACGAAAATCTCTCATCTTAATTTCTCTCTTTTAATCATTTACCCTATCTTCTTCCCAAATTTCTTCTTCTTTTTTTCTTTCTTTATCTTTCTCTTTCCCCATCCATTTTAAATACATTTTCTCTTAGTTGTAAATTTCCCTCATCTTTCTTCCTATTTACAAAAACATTATGATTCATTTTCTTTATCTAACTGCTTGGTGTTAACAAGCCCGTTCTGGGGGAAATGGACATATATCATACGAGGTACTGAATTTTATCTACTTGTAATTTATACATGCATATATATATATATATATATTAATGCAATATCTATGTTAATGGTATATATATATATATATATATATATATATATATATATATATATATATTAATGATATATATATATGTAAATGTTAATGCAATATATATATCTTAATGTAATATATATGTATATATTGATATATATGTCAATATATATATATATATATATATATATATATATATATATATATATATATATATATATATAATTATTTATTTAAAAATATGATTCCAAATCGCTACATAAGAGGTCTCATGTTGAAAAACTAAAAAACTTCAATATAATCCTTTAAATTCCAACAAAAAATGGAGCTTGAAGATGGAATGGATTCCATTTTCTTCAACTCAATTTAATTTAAAGGATTATATTGAAGTTTTCGGCTTTAGTTTTGAAACATGAGACCTCTTATGTAGCGATTTGGAATCATATTTTTAAATAAATAATTATATTTATGCTCTACTTTTGTATCGAGCACTATTTTTTAAAAATAATAACTAAAATACTAAGGGACTTTGGATTATTTACCTAACCAGTTCCTTCCTATTTTCTATATATTTTCACATATATATATATATATATATATATATATATATATATATATATATATATATATATATATATATATATATATATATATATATATATATAGTATAGCACGTCCGGTCATATGACGGTTCCGTGTAGGAAAAAGGTTCGATTCCTGTCGGAGAAAACATATTTTCGGTAAATGTTATCAATACTGTTTATTATAAACAGCATTTACTTAAATATTTTAAGTATATATAAAAATAGCATATAATCAATAAATATATTAAAATAATAGTTTTACTTAGTCCTTTTCATTATATATATATATATATATATATATATATATATATATATATTATGAAGTATATATATATATATATATATATATATATTATGAAAGTATATAATATATATATATATATATATATATATATATATATATATATATATATATACTGGACTCTCCCAACTTTCCGATAGATGAGTGTCAGGCAATTCAGTTCCTAGTGACAGACAGCCAGACTCTTGCACATATGCTTTGGTTATAGTCGAAGGCTTTTTTTAAGAGCCGAATACAGAGATCTGGTGCACGTGTATGTGTGTGTGTTAATGTAATATATAATATATAGGCTTGCAATATATATGTTAATGCAATAGCTATATATATATATGGTTATGCAATATATAAATATGTTAATGCAATATATATATATATATATATATATATATATATATATATATATATATATGTTCATGCCATACTCTCTTCAGATATGTTAGATCATTCCATTCTTTAAACAGCACTCACATTCAGCAAACATTCCAGAATTCACTCCGCCATTAAAAGACTCTTTTGTAAGATTCATGTCAAAATTGCGTTTACTTCAAAGGAATCCATTGACCTTTCCAAGCTTAGCAATGTTATCCATACAAAATGGCGACTGCAATGATTTATCTACATGACAATATCAATAGTCAATGCTAAATTCAACTAAAGCAAAATGGGTGGCTCAAATTGTGAAGCTTACAAAGCAAAACTCTTTTTGGAGCAAGGTTGTGGCAGCCTGGGACCCAAGGCCCAGCTCCATTTGCTGTCGTAGGTCGTCAGTATCGAACTTTTTTGCAGTTCCTTCACTCGGACAGAAAGCGATAGAAACAAGGTCACCTGGCAACTGTGTATCCACTAAGCAAAGTTACGCAATATTTACCAGACTCCGCTGGCTGTAAGTAGATGACCAGAGTTGTGCGGGAAAAGATCTGTGTTACATCGCTCTAATGTGAGCTTAGGGTAATTTGAGAATAGAATGTCAAAACCCCTCTTCAATGAGAGCCATTAGCTACAAAAATGTCTCAATCAGAATGTGAATTTATCTCATTAATGGAACCTAATTGAATACGTGATTCGATGCCTCTTCAATCGTTTGCTAATGATTAAAGACACGTCGAAAGACACACTGTAGTCTTATTAATCTTCATAGATGCATTAGTTTCCGCCTGTCAAAACTGACAACGATTACAGTAGCCAATTCCCTGCTTCTTCCTGGACAGGAATTATAAATGAATTGCCTATGTGCTCACATGTTCTCCATCAACAAGAGAATGATCAGTATCAATAATCAAAGAAGTTACTTACTTTTTTTTTCTAATGTTCAAGGCCCAAGAGACACTCAATGTAGAGTGTTACTCTATGGAATTATATTAGCGTAGGAAAGGACAAGAGTTAGTGGTACAGATCTGAAACAGACTTTAGAAAGAAACAGAAACCCAATCCCAAGCAGGGAACATGTGATAAACGTCTGCTGCTGTTCAAAAGATCGGAGTGTGACCCGGAAGAGAGGCGGACCTGTCAACGCCTAAGGCGAATTTATTTACTCTAAAGATCTATCCCCGATAACAAACACACGTACACACATGCGTACACACATGCGTACACTTAAGTATAGACACGCAGGCAATGCAACTGTAGTGATAGACAATTCAGATTATGCAAGAAAGCAGGAAGACCTCAATGGTAGCTACAACAATGTAAAAAAGAGTCCTACGATGAAAACGGAATGTAAACTGTCGCAGATACTAATCAAGAACAAGGATCACTTCGCACCTAACACGTATAGGCAGTTCTCGCAGCGTTACACTAAGCTACCTCACATATACGATCTCTCTAAGATTCACAAAGACGGTTTTTTTTTATTATAATTTTAAAGTTTAAAATGAATTTTCTAAAAATAAACAAAGCATTCTTGAAGATATATACGGCGCATTATATCTACCAACCCTCTTCCATAGGGATATCAGTAAACTTAACGAAGATAATGGCGACTTATGTCTTTCCCTTCGGACTGCATACAATAATCACATTCTTCCTTCCACTTTCCAAATAGACTGTAAAATCTTTTTTTTTTTTAGATCACCACCAGTTGTCTTGAAAAAGCTATGTATTGTTTGACATAACGCGCGATGTAATATCTTGTCAAAAAGAAAAACCTTCAGCAGATGTCATATACGATCAAACTCACTCATTAGACTTATGGCCATATCACCTTGAAATATCGGTTCTCGTTCGTTTACGGAAGTTAAGCAACATCGAGCCTGATCAGTACTTAGGTGAGTGACCGCTTGGGAATATCAGGTGCTGTAAGCTTGGATATGCGGGTGGTGTAATGGACATCGTGTCGGAATTGGAAATCGGAGAGCCGAGTTCCAATTCCAATCGGGTTCATTATATTCACCTACGCGTAAATACCGTTGCGGAAGGTATGAATCCACCTCTTCTCCCTCTAACTATAGGTTAATTAGTAGAACTCGTATCAGTAAAAATCATTATCTCCAAAGAATTCGTTATATTCATTTACGTTTATATTCACTTGAGAAAGGTATAAATCTACCTTTGCCCCCCACCCCCACTTAGTTAATTAGTAAAAATTGCAACAGAAAATATTTATTACTGCTTCCCACACCGAATTCTTTTTTTTTAAGCGTTTCACTCCAAGCAAGGCAGGAAGCCACTAGCACACAAGGGGTTACAGAGAATTGGAGCGAGATCAAATAGGAGTGATAAAGGAAAGGATGAAGAGAAGGATAGGGGATAGATCAGGGCATCTGGAGACGTCGATTGACATTACATTTGAATAGTTCAAGATTATAGCTATCAGGGAAACAGGAAAAGGGGAGGATGTTCCACAGGCGAGAGGTGCGAAACATGAAGCTATTGGAGTAGAAGAGACAGCGACATTTAACAGTTTCAACAGTGAAAGGGTGAGAACGAGATGCCAGCCTAGTTGAATGCTTAAATTCATGAAGTCTGGGAGCCAGCGAAAGCAGCTCATCGGAGCAGTTACCGTGAAAGTATTTGTAAAAGAAACAGAGAGAGGTGACGGCATGTCTGTGAGAGAGCGACTGCAGATGAGATGCCAGATCAGAGCAAATTACATTGCATATCCGTCTCTGGATTTTATCAAGAACCTTGAGACAAACAGAAGGGGCTCCAGACCATATATGGCAGAAATACTCCATGCAAATACAAAAAAAAAACGATACGATTAAGAGCAAGAGTAAAGAGGGGTAGAGGGGTGTTTGAGGTAAGGATATAGAGAAGGACGGGGATCAGGATCAAGGCATCTGAAGTCGATTGACACTACATTTGAATATTTAAAGATTATAGGTATCAGGGAAGCAAGTAAGAGGAAGGGAGTTCCACTGTTGGGAAGTGCGTGAGAAGAAGGTGTTGGAATAGAAGAGGCGGTTACATTTAACTGTTTCGACAGTGAAAGAGTGGGACCAAGATGCCAACTTAGTAGCACGTTTAGATTCATGCAGTTGGGGTACCAGTGAAAACAACTCGTCAGAGCAGTTGCCATGAAAATATTTGTAGAAAAGACAGAGGGAAGCCACATCAAGTCTGTGAGAAAGTGACTGCAGACGAGATGCCAGATCAGAACCTATCATATTGCATATCAGTCTTTGGATTTTGTCGAGGACCTCGAGATGAACAACGGGGGTACCAGACCATATATGGCGATAGTATTCGATGCAAGGACGAATGGTAGTATTGTAGATTTGAAGGATGAACTCAGACTAGAAAAAAAACCTTCTGGAATGACAACCAACTTTCCTTGCGATAGATGAAGCTATTCTTACAATATAAAAATATTTTCGGGTTTTAAACAACTTTTAAGCCGTTTAAATAAATGAATTAAATTATCTTACAGACCAAATAACCGTAGAGGAGTGTTTGTTCACGAATACATCTTGAGAATCTGCTTTGACTTGGTATCAGATTAGATCAAGGCCGCGTAGTCGGTTCTCAAAATATAAAAAAAGTGTATTATTTAGATTATTTAAACTCGGTCTATTGGCTTCTTGTTTGATCTCATTATAACAACGTTTCGGCTGTTGTGTCTTCTGGCCTTCTTCAGATACTTCTCGATCCGGTTAAAACCCAAGGAAATATCGTATTGAACACTATTTAATCTACAGGGGGAGATTTTGTTTTAGTTCTGCTGGCCATATCTAGGTATGGCTCGTCTTGTTCTTATTTAGTACTGTTCAGTTACTTTTTCCCTATGTTACGTCCTGGGTATGACGATAAACGTCATCCGGCAGCAAGGCTTCTGACAGGAGGTTTTGCGGAGCGTAAGACCATCTCTTAATTGCTGTTGCTTGCAGGTCCACCCGGGTTGGTAGCACCTGTTAAGGTTCCAGCTACGGGCAAATAGATAACCTCCAAACTGGGGTCAAAACTATATGAAAAAAATTACCAGCAATGCATTGAGTTTTTTTGGGTGGGGAGGTTGTAAAAAAAAATACTAATGCTCCCAAGAAAATTAAATTTCGGCATTAAATGACCCATAAGGTTGTTGATATGCCACTAAACAAATAAACAAAAAAATCGCCATACTTTTATTGAGTCCAAATCTACAGTATTCGGATTAGAGATTAAAAAATTACTATGTCACTATATTCACGGATTAATGATTTAATATACTAGGTTAAGTGTTATGATAACAAAGATGATGATCATAGCCCAAATTTAAATCATGTAAATAATGAAAACTCCAGAAATTCAGACATTTTTTTTTTAATGGCTGAATACATTTCTAAAAGACTCCATAGGCTGAAGATCGAGAGCACTTCTCCGTGATGTAGTAGTTATGAGGCATGCCACGCTAGATCAATCACGACTGAAGAGTGAGTCCGATTCTCACTGGGTGCTCCATACTTTTGGCCTTGTGCCACATCTAAACTACGTTGACTAAATCCTTGTGCACTTCGATGTGGTGTAATGGTTAGCAAGTTTGTTTCAGAGAACAATCACGACTGAGTAGTGAGTTCGATCCTCACTGTGTGCCTCTTACTTTCAGCATTGTGCCACATCAGAGCCACGCTTAGAAAATTATCATAAACACAACTTAGGTGAGTAGGAATCGTTTTGCGACTAAACGAGTAGATTTGATAACATTCAGAGATACATTTACAGATGGGCGTCTACAAAAAAACGATACGTCAGCGGAATCCCCCCCCCACGCACACGGCATGGTGAGAGTATTACGTCGATATTGCTCCCTGAATAACAATGTTTCCCGCCGGAAAATCCGGAACTTATCGATTTTCATCGATAAACCATTCAATCTTTTAATTTTTTTTTTTTTTTTTTATTATTACGATTGCCTAATTTCAGGACCTTTTTTATATCGCGGAGTTTCATTTCATTTGTTGTACATCAATATTCTTATCATTGCTTCGGACAAAGGAAGTGCGATTGTTGCCATGAGTCAAAATAACTTTTTACATATTAATTTGGGTCTGAAAGTATTTTCGCTGTTCACTTTCACGAGTCATCGACTCAGTGAACCATAATGGCGCCAGTCTGTTGCCCAGCGACTGAATTTTCGTTACGGTCGCCTACTCCAACTTCCTTTTCTTTCTCGTCACTGTCTTCGTGTAGATTACGGGAGAGTGGTTTCATGGCACTTAGCCGTTTTTTGTTTTAATCATTTCACATCATTTAAGTCATTAAAGCCACGAACCACTCGTTTGGAGGTTAGCATCAGCCATGCTGAAGAGAGGCAGGCAGTAGTCTTTCAGATGATTAATAAAGATATGTTTTGTTTTGGGGACGTTAAAATTTGGTTAGAACTAGCCATGCTGATGGAAATTAAAAAGGTTCCTTCAGACGATTAAAAGAGAGCATTTCGTTTTGGAGACGTTAAGATTAACAAGCTATTCCTTACCCCATTTAACAACAGGCTATATGTCATTTTTGAGCTTAGCTGCCAATTTGATCATATCGACACTTATTATCGAGACGGGACTAAATAGTTATTTTTTATCATTTTTCCTCAAGAAAGGCGTACCACAGAGTATTATACAAAACTTTGAAAAAAAAAGCACTTATTATTATTTAATCGTAAAATCTTTTTGCACTTATACGATAAAGCAAGACCATCGAACCACTCAAGAAATTTTTATGGCATTAAATAAGTTTTGCCTCAAACACCTTACTCTCCAGACTATACTCCATCTGACTCTCATCTTTTCAGATCGTTCAAAATATGTGGAATGATATTCGTCGGAAGATATTAGAAGCCTCTAATGCTTATTTTAATCATTTCGCCCTAAGGAAGGCGAACATGCTACTAAGACGCAAGGGAGTTCCTGAGAATGAACGGAAATGAGAAAACGCTAATGAGGAGAAAGCGCAATAAAAGAACAGGATCCAGGAAGACAAAAAATAACGAATGGCGTTGCATTTAAATTTTTCAAGATCGTAGGTAACAGAGAAGTAATAAACCGGGAAAGGGTTTCACAGGCGAGAAGTGCAGGAAGAAAAAACTATTCGAATAGTACTTACGGTTACATCTAGCTATTTGAACAGTAAACCGATGAGACCTAATAGCCAATCTAGTAGTACGAATAATCTTTTGTGGTCAAGGGACTAGGGATGAAAGGGATATTTGTTTTGTAAAGATACAAAAAAATGTGACACAAGGCCAAGAGGAGGGATGGGGAAGGCTGGCCTTCTTCTGTCATATAATTAGCTACAATTACTGACACAGTATTCCTTACAGCAAAATAACGCATTATGACTTACCATTCTTACTACATACACTATAATACCAGGGATGAAAGCTCCTTAGATCATTTGCCATGAAGATATTTATAGAAACAACAGAGGGAAGCCACGTCACGGCGATGGGAAAGTAACTGAAGTCGTGGTGCCAGGTGGGAATCGAAAAGATTACAAACTCTTTGGATTTTGTCGAGGATGTCAAGATATGTAGCAGAGGCAGCAGACCAACTATGTCAGCAATATTCAATGCACGGACGAATGGTAGATTTATGAACGGACAAGAAGGATTCTAGAAAAAATAATCGTCCAGCACAGTGTTCTCAACCGGGATCCATGTGGACCCTGCGGGGTCCAAGTAACGTCACTGGGGTTTCACACAAAAAAAGTACCTAGCAAATAGGTCAACGGTAATACTTTAGTGTTCCGTAGAGCAATTTCACTTTGGATTATTTGTTACAACTGAGAATTTCTACAGTAATCTACGCGATATTAAAATACTAAAAAAAAATAGAAAAACAAATCTAAAACTAGCAAAAAATTTCCATATATATATAAATATATATAAATATA